AGTGTGGCCATCCTTATAAAAGCAGAAGTTTTGGTTTGGTGTCTTTTTGTGTGTGTTTTTCTGGTCTGGAGCGCTATTGTGTGTGTTAACACACTCCAAAGACTCAATGCCACTCCGGCAATGATTTTAGAGAAGCAATTGTTAGTACCCATCAATCTGGGAAGGGTTATAAGGCCATTTCCAAACAATTTAAAGTCCATCATTCTGAAGTGAAAAACATTATTCACATGTGGACAGCGTTCAAGCCAGCTGCCAATCTTCCCAAGAGTGGACGCCTCAGAAAATTCACCCCAAGGTCAAATCATATAATGGTTATAGAAATTGCAAAATTGCACCTGAACAAACCACAAGGCTTCTGAAGCCCTTGGACAGACAAGACCAGAGTGAAATTGTTTGGCCATAATGCGCAGCACTACATTTGGTGACAACCAAAGCGTACAGCAAATCAGCATGAACATAGCATACTAAGTGGGGAGCAGAGGAATGGAGAGGGTACAGCTAAAGGTTGGCTGACATTGGGACATTGGCACAGCGGCAAATCTAAAACTGAATGGCAGAAAAAAAAGGATCAAGGTGTTGCACTGACTCAGTCAAAGTTCAGACCTCAACCTGACTCAAATGCTGTGGCAGGATCTTAAGAGAGCTGTCCCTGGAAACCCAAATAAACACTGTAAATAAGAGTGGGCCTAAATACCTCCACACCAATGTGAGTTGTTGCTGTTAAAGGTGGTTCAGGAAGCTGTTCAGTTACACTCTGCCTAGCCTTTGACACAGTGTAATATGCCGCGTGTTACTGCTTATCCGAGGTTGTATTCAAATACTTTTAGAAACTGTCAAGCAGACTCTTTGTTTCATTATTCATTTCATAAAACGACAGAATTAAAAACAAAGAGCACACTTTCTTTTTCACATTTGGGAAATCACGTCTGCTGTGTAAAATGATGAATGATGAACACTCGTGAACGCAGAAGGAAATGTAATAGTGCTAATGTATTGACTCTTTTCTCCTCTTGAGCACAGACTCTTTCGCTACTGCCGCTGCTGGATTCTTGAAGATAATTGTACAACGGCACCCGTTAACTTTTCCATCTCCGGTGGATTAAAAACCTTTGCTCTTTATTTAGTTATTGTCATGGCGAATTGAGATATTGGTGCTCGACTGATGCTGCCCTTTTTCATTCACCACATAAGCACTAACCTCAGACTTGACTTAACTGTGTGATCAGCTGTTTCTAAATAGAGCTTCCCATTTGGGGGTTGCTGCAAACCCAGGTCAGTACGGTGAGACACTCTAATATTTTGCAGGTGGTAGTGTTCACTATAATAAAACTAATTTGTTACTACACTATTGCAATATTTAGGAATTCTCAAACTACGTGTTAAATTGCCACATTATTCATATTTTAAATTTGGTTGCAAAACATAATTGAGAAACGACGCGCACGCTGTCACCGAGAAGATAATATGACCTTTAAGCCATCAGCAACGGAGAGTGATACCCCAAGTGAAAGCTACATGAGGGGCTGAAATGAATGGTAATCTAATTAATAACTTCATATTCTGCAATTTGTGCAAGGGCACTTGGGCTTTAGAGCTTTCAGTTCCCATAGCAACTGGGCTTGAGGGTAAGGCCATGAGGGGACTGCAATGAGATTTAGCTGTGAGACTTCTGGCAATCAGCCCTAATAAAAATGTGAATATCCACTACATTAGTGGCTCCGAAGTGCTTGGATTAAGAGGGCTGTGGAAAATGTCTACTCTTTCAAATGTGCAAATGCTTCCTCAGATTGGTGAAAAGCTAGTTACCATCTCTGTAAGGGTGAAGGTAGCCAAATATTCTCAAGCCATAGTTCTTCCACTTTGGAGCCACTGCCAGTTTCTTCACTGTTGTCCTGGCCTGTAGTAAGAAAGAGGGAAAAAATATTGCAACTTTAATAGCAGCAAGTTAAACACTTTACGTCACAGTGAAACATTCAGTTCAAAAACACACAGTGAGGCATAAAGCAAACCTCTGACCCACTTGTTCAAGTCTGCCACTTGATATAAGAAGACTAACAGACGAGATACTGTAATAAAAGAGCCTGCTTTAATTAAACATAAAGCTAGCATGCTCACAGATCATAGTGAGCATGCTAGCTTTTTGCCTAGCATGAAATTG